CTAGGTCAAAAAATGGCTACCAGGAGCATGCCAACCCAGGGACCTCCTGGGAAGAGCCTCACCTCAGGCCAAGTTCAGCTGCATTCTGTGCCCTGCTTGTGGCCACCTGGCATAAGCCACTAAGAAATCCTCAGATGGCCACCTCTCACAATGGCCTTGGGTTGCCTTGAGAGGCCAAGCCACAAACTGAGGCCAGCAGCCACGAGTGTTGAGCTTGGGGATGCTCAGGGAGAGTTACAGGGCATGCTGAGGCCAGATGCCACTTGTTTGGATTTTGTTAACTTTTGAGAGTTTTAAGAACATGGTGTGCTCCAAGAAAGGTCCGGGGCTGCAAGTTGGGTGGGTTGAGGTCTCAGGGAAACATTAGGGCAGGGCTAATGGTATTAGCTAGGTTGATGGGAACTTAGATGTGGTGCCTACCTGTGTCTGCACACTGGGAGAGGGGAGAACTCCATGAAGGAACAATGGATTCTACTGCCACTTCTGTCTGAGAGAAAGCTGTTCCTTCAGCCCTTGCCCTGAAGCCAGACCATTGAGATCCTTCTCGTATGTCCCTGGTTCCTTTCAAGCTGCTGCCTGAGCACTGGATCTCAGAGTGAGTGAGTCCATCAGTAAGTAAGTTTGGGTACAAGCCCTTTAAGAGGAGTGCCTGGGACTTCAGCTGCCCTTCATCTTACTCAGCCACAATCTCTGCTGGTTTTCACAGACAGAATCTGTGGGACTTTCTCTTCTCTGCACTGGAACCTGGTGTGGGGCTGGGACCCCTTGCTCCTCCAAGGAGACCTCTGCAGCTGAGATATGCCTCCTGATTTTTAATTGCCACATGTGGGTGTGGGACCAGCCAATTGACCATCTTCATCTCTCCTACCAGTCTAGAATTGGCTTTGTTTCCTTAGTTGTAGAACTTTTATCCAGCTAGACTTCAGGCAGTTCTCAGTGGTGGTTCTGTAGTTTAGTTGTATTTTTGATGCAGTCCTTAGAGGAAGAAAAAACAGTGTTTACCTACTCTATCATCTTGACTGGAAATTCCATTCCCATTTCTTTCTGAGTCATAAAGCATAGCTGTGCCTCTTGATTTAATAGTACACATGCAAAGTTTCTCTTTACACATACTTCTGATGTCAATTCAATTAGTATAAAAGATTTGATGAGAAAAATCTTCTTCATCTGTACCCCACCCATGTTTTTTTCTGTGTTGGCTACATGTCACATCACATGATGAGAGTGAGAACTACCAGAATTGTGAGCAACTAAAAGCTTTCACTTGGAGAAAGATGAGAAAGACAGGTTTTATTCTAAGCATATTGGTGTTAAAATAATCCAAATCAAATACTGAAGAGAATTTACTTTTAGTCGTCAAGGGTGCCGTTACTTTCTAAATATCACTTGTTAAAATGCAAATTGGATTAAATCAATTCAGAAAAGCTGTACTTGACAAAGATATTGAACACCTAAGTTGACAAGGTCATGCTAGAACAAAGAAAGCTAAATAATATTTTGTTAGATATTGAAAATATTTTTTAAAAGGTAGTCCTGATGTTCATATGTAATTTTTTTTTTTTTTTTTTTACAAATTTGTTAACTGACATCTCAATTAAGGCATTGCTTGGGATGACGCTCATTTATATGGGGTTAGTTATATGTAACAACAACAAAAAAGAAAATATTTACAAACTATGTGAAATAAAGCCTTTTTTTTTTTTCCTGAGTAAGGAGAGAACTGTAAAAGCTTTGTATTCCTAAGTACAATTTCTTTTATTTGTATCTATTTAGTTTAAGGAAAATGGTGTGGCTCCTATGAAAATTAAAGCCCACAGTGACTTTTGTTCCTGATGCCTTCTTTATGCACCATTTTTTCTTTCTCATCTTCAGTAATCCTTGTAACTCTCTTACTCAAATTTGTCTTTATGGAAAAAAAAGCATAAATATGAATTCTTTCTACAAATATTTATTGACCAACTACTGTTTACCAATCACTTTTCTAAGCACTTAGAAAATAGGAGTGAACAAACACAAAAATCTTTGCTGTCATGGGTCTTAGATCCTACAGCTCATGAGAGAATGGTAACACAGAATAAAATGCATACATCTTGATGATTACCAAGGGCAAATGCAATAAATATTTTCAGTTCCTGTTTTCTTTTTTTGGAATCTCATTAAGGCTCAAAACTACTCATGCTGCCCCTAATTCTTGTGTGAGGAGACAAATATTAAATAGTATAAATAAGTTAAATAGTTGAAGATAAGATGTTATATTCAAAACAAATAAAAGTATTATAAAGAGATGGTGTGTATGAGTGTGCAGTTTTAAATCGAATGACCAGGTGAGACTTTCCTGAGAAGACAATGATCATGAAAAGATCTGAAGGATGTCAGATAACTAGCCATTTTAAATTTGAGTTTCTTATAATTAATTAACAGGGGGATTTTTTTCAGAGCAGTTGGGAAGCTATAATTAATTAATCGCTGTTCTAATTTGTTAACTAATATTGTTGGTAATTTGTCCAACAGGCCTCTGGAATCAACTTAGTTTATGACTATTGATGGATGTCAATAGGAATAGGCCATGTTAAGGAAAGAGAACACTAAGGGTGACAATTAGGAAGTGTCACAACAATACAAGTGAGATAAAAAGAAAGTAAACGTTTTTCCATTGACGTTTTTCCAAAATGTCATTTTTTTGCCAAAGTGGTCAGATATCTGGCCCCTCCCCCCTTTTTTGTAGTCCTTTTATTGTTCCTTATTACCTTCAGGATAGTACCCGAACCTCTTTATCTCTTCAAAAATTGAGCTCTTGCTGGTTTTTCTAATGGGTTTGTCTGCGTTTCAGTAAAACTTTATTTACAAAACTAGGTGGTCGACCAAATATTTATGCCATTAGCTGTTTGCCTACCCCTGACTACTTTATGGAACTCTACCATTCTTAGTACATGACTTCTATTCTAAAAGCTATATTGATAGAAACTACTCAATTTGTAGCCAACATATCAACATTCCAGATAGGAAGTTGAAGGAAAGAAAAATGCTGAAAAAGAGCTTGCCACCTGTTTCTTCAAATACAAATTTTCTACGTACCTCTCCCAATATCTACTTATATTTCATTGGCTACTTCTCCATGCAAATAACCTGAGGAATGTAGCTGTTTAGATGGATATATTTTTATTCAATAAAATTAGGGTTCTGTAACCAAGGAGTCAAGAGAGGATGAATATTGAGTGGACTTCTAGAAGTTTTTTTCATATCTACCAGATTCCCGTCACCCGATGTCAATTTCCTTGCCTGTTGAAATGGGAGACTTAGAACCACACAGATTTGTATTTGATTTTCGTTGGATTCCCAGTGCCTATAATGCCTTTGGCATACAGAGGGGCTCAATAAATGGACTTTTGTCATCACTAGCTATGATTTTTGAGTTGGAGGAAATAAAAACTGTTTCTGGCCCATTTAATCATTCATTAAAAGAATATTTCTTGCTTCCAGAAGTAAGATAAGTGGAGAGTCAGTCTCAGATTGGGACAGGTATCCAATTATTGCTGTAATTATTTAGATACAACTGTTTCATCCTGTCTTTGAATCACTTCAGTCAACATTTAAAGCCCCAAAAGACAGAGTCTAATGTGTCAAATGTGACTGAATCATCTGTCTCCCTTTGGTTAGGAAAGACAGGACACCTTGTTTTATAGTCCCACTAAAATTGCATGTAACTGGAGAAAAGCAAATAATTAGGATGAAATCAATGTAAAGGATGATATCAACAGGAAGAAACAAGGTAAACAACACAAGGAAATGTCCATCACACATTCCCATTCCTTTTAGTTTGCATTGCTTCCACAAAGTCTTGGTTGTAATGTAAGAGCATTCTGTGGGAGGAAAATGAGATCTAGTAATTTGGCCTCTGCTAACACATCAGCATCTTCATTTTTACCTAAAGTAGAAAAGGATCATTTTGTAAAAGTGAGTGCAAAAACAATGAACAGATGAGACCAACAAGAACAGTTTTTTAAGGCAAAGATGACAGGTTATGCCAGTGAGGTCCTGGGACTGATAATGGAGAACGGTAAAGAAATTCTGAAGAACTGTTAGGCCCAATAAGGTACCATGGCTATAGGTAATAGCATCTGTATAAGCTTTCTTCCAAACATACAATTGTATAAACTCTCTAATTGTTTCTAAATGCCTCATTTTCTACAATGATCACACTGCCATTCTGGTTGATTACTGAGCAACTGAATATTATTTCTGATAAAAAGTTGAAGTCATATGGAATTTTACTTTGTCTTTATAGATGTAGCACTGAAAGTAGATACCTGACAACCCAGGAATTTATTTTTAAGCATGATTCACAATAGTAGATAGTAGTATCTACTATCATGCAAATCTGTTAGACATTTGGAATTGCTTTTATTTAGTAACTTTTATTGAGATTTTAAAAAAATCGTAAAATTAAAATTATTTTATTACTAGAGAAAAAATTTATATGATCTGCAAAATTGATTTGCTTGGTTGTGAATATTTGTGTTGGTACTGAAGCTCATTTCAAGTCATTGCTGGAAATTTGGTACACTAAGCAGATTGTATGTGTAAGGAACTATAGAGCTTATGTAACCTCATTTAATAATTTGGGTCTAAATTTTTTATATTATGTTTGTTTAGATATTAAAAATTGATGAGTTGTGATTAATAAAAATTACTACCATGTCTGCTGTTGGAATATGAAGTTTATGAAATTAAACAAAAAACCTACTTGTATAAAACTAGGCTTTATAAAATTCTTATTACATTTTGTATTCTTGATCTTATTTAGTTCTATGATTTGACATTAGGAAATGTATGAAAACATGCCATTAAAGGGTGAATGAGCAATTAAAGTTTGAGCATTATGTAAAATAGAAAAACTTTACATGATTTAGGAATTAAAAATCCTTAACATTCTATAATTTGTTGACTCTCTTCTTTCTGCAATAATACTAATCTTTCGATCTTTGTTTCTATTTTTACAGTGCTTTGATACATTATTGAAACTACAATCTCACATCCACAGTGGTTTCATGTTGACAGATTGCATATTCTAAAGCTCGATATATTTTATCATGAAAGATGTCTGGTGGAAACTTTGAAGCATAGAATTCTGCCAAACACCTGAATAAAGAATTTCTCACCTGGTATGTAAGAGCCCTCATCACCACAATGACAAACCAGGAAAAGTGGGCCCACCTCAGCCCCTCAGAATTTTCTCAACTTCAGAAATATGCTGAGTGTAAGTATATTGATTTTATTTGGCATTTGTGCTAAATAAGGTATTGTTGGTTGACACAAACAGATTACAGATTCTGTTCAGCATCAGGATAGATATAGGTGTATCTTTTGTGTTTGCAAAATAGGTTGGTTTGAGACTACCTTTTTACCATGAGAAAAAGGAAATGATACACTTAAATCAAACATCAAATCTAGGAGAAAAGAAACAGCATGTTAGATGCAAAACTGAACTTGAAAACACTCCAGATGTAAAAGAAGTAAAACACAAGATAAGGCAGCCTGGGAGAATGTAGACTAGTGAGGCTGTATCCAAGGAGAAGGATGACAGGAGCATAAAAACGGTAATAAGGAAGTAAAAGGAGGAGAAAAAAAATGGTGATATACTTGAGTTAGTAGGACCCGACTCAGAGAGATCAGGAGGAAGGAGAAATGTAAGGATTTTTTCTTCCTGTTTGTCAGCTTAAAGTTTCAGAAAAAACTGGGAGTAGGGAGTCATAGATATATTATGGAGTTGGCAATAGAGGTTTAAAAAAAAAAAATTGTCAGGACCTTAGGCCAACTTGTTTAGTGCATGCATTTATACAAAAGATAGGCTGTGGTAATTTGCTTTATAGTAAGGTATTTTTAAATATTAATTTTTATATCTATATCTATATCTATATCTATATCTATATCTATCTATCTATCTATCTATCTATCTATATATATATATATATCTCCACAGTAAGGTTTTGATTACAAGACGTTTGTTTTTACCATAAATTTTCAGGAATATGTCTGTTTCACAAAATGAGTTTCAGCTCTGCATACAAATAGTAGTTAGGTCAAGGTAAAAAAAGAAGTAACTAATAAATAGGAGACATTAAAAGGATTGGAAGACGATGAATAGAGAAAAAATAACTTGTATAAAGAATGTAATAAGAAGGGTTGAGAGTCAAGGGAATAACATTGTATTGGGAAAATAAAATGCTAGAAGTGAAAAGACAGAAAGAATCAATTGCACATAATAGTGAAAAAGACAAAAACTGAAGCAGCTGGTGATGCTTAAGCAGAGAGATGTATGGCATGTAGGAGGATAAGTGTCAGAAATAAATTGAATAGTATGAAGGAGAAGCAGAGAAAAGAGTTAAACTTGGAAGAGGGATTTGGAATAATAAGAAATAGATGTGATGATAACAATAAATAATAACACACAAGTACATGTTATGTCAGGAACATTAATAAACACTTAATACATATTATTTGAAAAGGCCAACTTTACAGATTTTCTAGAATCTTCCTAACTTGAGGGCTCCAGTACTCTGGGTGAAGGTGTAAGAGTGCTGCTGGGTATTTCCAGGAAAGTCACCAATTCATATAAACATATGCATTGTGTTAGTGAATAATAATAAAAACATAACTATAATATGGAGGAGGGATCAGAAATTTTTGACATCAAAATGTGGTCCTCATACTGAAAAACTGTTTTGAACCACTGAAAGCACAATTTATTCATTTATGACATAAAGAAAATTTAGCCCAGAATGGCTGAATTCTTGTCTATATTCTTATATTCAATATTTTGTAAACTGATTTAAATGATTAACCTATGTTTTCCAATTTCTATATGCTTTTTGTTTTTTTCTCTCCCAAATTAAGTAAATATTTTTCAGTATCTTCTTTAGGGAGAGTATTCTGTTTGGTGCTGATGGAAATGCAAATATGAACAAGTATGGACTCCTCCTCCCATCAAGGAATTTACAGTTTAATGAAGGCTAAAAACTAGTAAATAGATGACTATTTCTGGTCAGAATATTGTAAGGGCCACAAGCAAAGTTTGGTGTTCTGTAGGTCTTTAGTATTCAGTTCAAGAGGGGAAAAGGGAAGTCTTTATGAAAGAAATAGGGATGAATCTTGAAATACAGGTTTAAGGTAAATGGAGAGAAAAATGATATGGATAAAAATGAAAATTCAGCATATGTTTAAAGGAGAGAGATGATTCACATTTATTCACACCACAGATTAAGGGAGTAAGTGGAGTTAAGGCTGTAAAAACAAGATGGAATCAAAATATACAATGCTAAACCTGAGTTAGGCAGTGAGGAGTAATTGTAGGGTTTTAAGAGTAGAGCGATATAAATAATGTTATGCTTCAAGAACTTCGATTAAAACTATGAAAATAGAATGTGCTAATGGAAAGAGACTAGAGTCAGTCAGGCCAGTAGGCTATTGAAATAGACTAAATAATGCGGATGTTTAAAAGTAACCAGAAAAGTGGAAATTTAGATTAAAACTAACAGAGGAGAGCGTGGGAAATAATAAAATATGAGAATTTAGAACTAGATATATATTAGAGAGAGATCTAAAATTTAGCCTAAAGATTGAATTTCGAGGATGGGAGATTTTGGTGACATAATCCTTTAGTACAGAAAACATTGAGTTTGGTTTAGGTTTATTGAACTTGGCTTAAATATTAAAAGCTATTTTCCAGTATTTGAGTACTCAGGGAAAAAATGTCTTATAGGAAACTTTAATATAAAATAGGTAAATTATTGCTATGATAGCTAAAATATCATTTATAATGACTTGCTCAGATACTCAAATCTCATTTGAATTGGTTATTAGACTTCAATACTAAAGTTTTAAATATATTATAGACTACTACTTTTATTTTATTATCTAAGAATATGGGGGTGCATTTAATTATATCATAAAAATGCTTAATTTAGTAATTAATTTGTATGAATGCCTAAGAAAAGTAGTAATAAAAATTGTTATAATATAAAAGTTGTAATATTGAGACAAAGGTTAATTGGTAGTAAGAAGTAGCATGGTGAGTTTAAGAACTTTATTAAAATGGATTTTATGAGAAGATATATTAACTAACTGCAAATGAAAAAAATAGTGATGATTTCGTGGTCATTAGATTTGATGCTTTTAAAATAACCAAGACAACATGAAAAGTGCTTAACTTAATACTCAAAGAAATGTCCTATATAATTAGGAATCTAAGGCTGTCATGATTAGAATGTATCCTCATATCATAAATTGCCATGGTCAAATTATAATTGAAAAGACACTTATCATCCTGCATATTATAAAAAAGTAGTATATGTTCCATGCTATTTAGTACATGTGATCAGTTTATCAGCAGCAATTAAGGATCAGACTTTTCATGTCATGATGCAATGTGGGCAAAGTGACATTCCTCCATATTCTTATTATAAAAGTGGTATATTGGATACTCTTTCTGGATTTTAATTGTTTTGTATCTTTCAATAAGAAATTATTCATATGTGTCAAATGACTAAATAAAAGAACAAGTTATTGATTTAAGTTTAAACTCGTGACATGCTAATATACACGGTACATATCAAATAAGTGTTTTATCTGCTTTTTGGAGACGGGCTGTGAAACTCTTCAAGTTGAATGAATTTATGGAAACCCCTACTCCAGCAAAAGCAAATCATTCAATGTTGAACCTAGGGACTATCATTTCCCAAAGTTATCTGATTTGGGATTCTCTCCATAATTGCCACAATATACCTGTGTCTTATTTCATTCAGGCTGCCATAACAAAGTACCATGGACTGGGTGACTTATAAACAACAAAAGCTTATTTCTCTCTTAGTTCTGGAGTCTGGAAGTCTAAGTTCAGGGTGCCATCATGTTTGATAAGATCCTTCATCTCGGTTGCAAATTATCAACTTCTCCTTGTATCCTCACATGGTGGAAAGAGCAAAAGAGGAGCAACAGACTCTCCAAGGACTCTTAAAAGGGCACTAATCCAGTTCATCAGGTCTCCATCCTCATCTAATCCTAATTACCACCCAAAGACCCTTCACGTTGGATATGGGGTTTTAACATATGCACTAGTATGCAGTTGATATAGTTCATTATACCCTTCCGCTATAAATGTTTTCTCCACTTCTAGGCTTTTCTCATGGTTAATTGTGGTAGAGTGATATTGGCACAGCATTCCTGGTTAGGCAGCTAGCACATCAGACAGCTCATATTCAAATCCAAACCCTACTATATTTTATATTTTGGGGAAAGTTACTTGATATCTCTGTGTCTCATTTTTTACACTTGTAAAATGAGGAAAATGGTAAATATGTCGTGTGGTAAGTATTAAATTGAATGAGTTAGTATATGTCAAGTAGTGAGAACATTGCCTGGCAAGTTGTAAATGATATAACTGTTTATAATAATTATTTTAATAGAGAGGGGGCAAGTGTTATGTTGGCTGTTTGAACATATCGTTGATCAAGTAGAAAAATGCCACATTTTGAAGCATTGAGTCGGTGTCTTATTTTCTGTTATAAAACTAGATTCTTCCCACAAGGTAAAAGCTTCTGTGCAATTGGCAGCCTCCGTTCTGTGTTGTCCCCACAAATGGTGAAGGCAGCTAATGTGAAGCCTGCTGTGGCTGCCTACAGCATGCTGAGACCATGCTCCTGTTTAGGGTTTCAGGCTGAGTCACTCCATGGGAAAGGTTTCCATTGATATGTGGGAGAGGAGTATAATTTTCTTTTCCACACTTTATATGAAGTCATCCAAATTGTAGTTATAAGATAGCTCTCATTCCTGCCGTGCAGAGAATAGAGCTTATCACATTATTAGTTTGTCAGTGCTTCCTGCTGTGGTTTCATGGCACTGAGAAGGGTTAAGAAACTCCAAGTCTTTTCATGGATAACACTATTTTCTATGTAGAATCTACACAGTATTTCCAAGTGATTCATTATCTGCCCACATGTTGTCACTTAGGATTAGCTTTTTATTTGCTATATATAAAGTGTGTTACATAGCATGTAAATTATTTTTGAAAAAATACTGTGTTATTATGGTGGGAACACTTCCAAACTTTCATGAATTTCATATTTTTATAGCAGCTGGCATTGTAGAGAGTTGCAAAATTATGATGAACTTGTTCTTTTCAGTAAGGACCGATGTGCCTAATTTTGGACCTACTGTACAATTTCTTCTATTGAGAGAAGCATGCAGCATGACTTAGTGGAAAAA